ACATGCACCTATGAGTTGGGGCACAGCCCACTGTGGCAATCTGGGGCTCTAGACACAGGACTAGACGCAGAGGGGCAGGTGATGTGGAGGGAGTGAGGCAGAAAGTTCTGTGTTAGTGAGAAGGGGTCCAGAACATGAGGGATGATTGGGAGTAACCAAAGACCATTTTGTAGGGAGACCAATTATCCCGTTTGCCTGGGACTGAGACGTTTTCCCTCAGTGCTACTACCTGGACAGCTCTGGACCACCTGGACAGTGGATCATGCTAACACCCCCCATATGGCACAGTACAGAGTCGCAAATTCTCCCGTAGTCCGTAGGGATTACTGAAGTGACATCTCTCCCAGTCTGTAAAACTTTAAAACCCAAGCAATGCTCTGGTCTCTCTCCATCTGTGCTAGGCCCTCCTCCCCACCCCACCCCCACACGTGTTAGCATGAATTCCCCCAGATTGCCTTTAGCATATCCTGGGCTGTGTCTCACTGAACTTCTCCATTCCTGTTGCTTTCTTTCTCCCTGCGCTCTGGAAAGACCCCCAGCCCTTTAGTGTAGATCAGGTACTTTATAGCTCTTGTCTCCCCTCTTTTTAAAAAGAAAAGCTCTCTGAACTCTCCACAGCTCCACCCCACCACCTACCTAGTCATCCTAGGGAATTTTCCTCTCAGCTCAGACGCACAGAGGTATGTGCAGACAAGCGCCGTCTTGCTCTGGAAAGGACATATTTTCTTCCATTCGCTTGTTTCAAAATACCACCAGGCCCCCATTCCTGTATTACTTTGTCCATCTCCTTACCTCAGACCCCTCCACCCAAGCCCCTTCTGGAAGAATTTTGGAAAGTATTTCCTGCCCCCTCCCCACTTATTGCTTGATTCTCTCTCCCTCTCTCCCTCCACCCTTTTTTTCAAAGACCATGGAGAGGCTGGGGGAAATGAAATGCCTTAATCTTTTGATCGTGACTATGAAGTTGGTGCTTGATCCACCTCTTCCTTTGCCCGTTTCCAAAGCAAACAAGCCGGGCTGTGTGGTGGGCTATAATTAAGCCAGTCATCACTAATGACATGCTCTCTATCTCCCATCGGAGCACAGCACAGCCCTGTCCAAACAGTGGGGGGAGGACCATTCCCCACCCCCATCAGGAGTGGTGGTTTGAGCCTGGGGGGGGCACCTGCCTCAGGTGTGGGGGGGAATGGCCATCCCCCTTCCTGTGTCCACATCATAGCTGAGCCTACGGGGCCCTGGGGAAGGGAGTTGGGAAAGGGGCAGGAGAAGAGGAGAAGAATGCAGGCAGGACAAAAGCACTAAGGGGCCTGGGTGACCACAGGCAAGGTAGGAGGTGGGAGGAAAAATGGAATGGTAGGACGTCCAGAAAGAAATATAAGGAATAAGAAGTGGGTGTTTTAGGAAAAGGAAGCTGGGAAAGATCAGGTCAGTGGGGAGGGATGGGTGGGTCCTGAGGGCAGGGAGTTAAGGCATAGACAGTGTGAGGAAGAGGCTATAGGCAGAAGCTTGAACTGAACCCTCCACCATTCCAGGAAAGGCAAGTCCATCTTCCAGCCTGGGTGGAAGGAGTGAGTTACCTGCTGGCTACTGTGCTGAGGGACCCTAAGCACCACCCTCCAGGATGCCAGCCTGCCAGGACAGAGAGGCTCAGGCAGGTGGGGCTTAGGTGACGTCCAGCGCTGACACCTGAGGTTGGGCTCAGAGCTCTATTCACAGCGGAGACCCAAGTGGAGCCCCCTTGTAAGATTCTGTCAACTCTCCCTTCTAGAGCAGGACATCTAGAGACCAAGTCCCCATCTCTCCAGTGTCACGGGTCCCCACTGAGGCATGTGAGACTTGATGGCCAGGCTACTAGGTGTGACATGCAGCTGTGTGTTCATGAGGCTGTTTGGATCTGCCCTGCAGATCAGAGAGTGGGGGACAGGGGCACACAAATCAGGACCCAAGCAGTCTGGAAGTGGGAGCCAGTAGACACAGGAGACTCGGGTACACCGACCCAGCTGGGCAGCATGAAGCAAGAGTGGGGGCTACACGTCATAAGCTAGAGCCAGGGAGAGGGTTGAGAGAGATCAGCAGCCTGGTTGCCTGGGCAGCACGGAAGATGAGGCCACCCTGGGCATGCTAGAGAGTGTAAGTGCATTTCCTCCAGCTGGCAGCCCTGTGGTGGGCACAGAACCTTCCTAGATTATCCCCAACCCAGGCCAAAGCGCACTGCCCCCAGAGAAAGTCTTTCCTCACCACCTTGTGGACAGGAGGTGCAGTACCTGGGGCTGCTGGCAGAGGGCAGTGTGTGCACAAACTACAGGCGCCAGAGAGTTGTTATTCGGGCTTAGAAATTACCAGTCCGTGACTACAGGGGAATGTGTCTCCATGAGAAGATCCAGTGCCCTCCATCCTGCACTCAGCCCCTGTCAGCCAGGACCCTGGGCACAGTCCTGCTGTGGATCGATGGGTCCTGAACCAGCGCACAGCCGGCAAAGAAGGCCCCTGCACACAGGTTAATAATAATTATTATAATAACAACTAACATCTCTTGGCTCCAAAGTGTATTTCAGGCACTGTAGTACTCCCATTATTCCCTTCCATATTCTCAACACTCCTCTACGATGAGAACTTTGTCAGTTATGAGGTGTCCTATCTGGAGGTACGGGCTCTGCCGTTGGACTGGGATTCAGCTCCCAACTCTGCCATTTACTACGCAACATCAGTTGGTTTCTTTTACCCCTCAGAGCCTCAATATTCTCATTAGTGAGATGTGCATTATTATAATTGCACCTTATAACAATAATATCCATCAGGTTGCTGGAAGAATTCATTGAGTTGCTGGCCATGAAGACCTCAGAAGTGTCGGTGCCAAGAACAGTGCCTGGGCCAGCTTGTATCAATCCTATTTTGCAAGGGCAGGACCTCGCACTAGGACACAACTAGCCATTGGAAGAGGCAGGATTGGAGGCCAAGCATATGACTCAGCCAGTACTAGCAGGTGGGCCCTTTGCCTGAGACTGTCCTGGCTTATGCCGGTCATCTGAGAATCCCGTTCAGCCTGGGTCCAGAATCAGTGTTCCAGTTTGGTCGATAAATTGTATACACTGCATATGCACAGATGTATGTCAAACTCAAATTTATTAACACAGATGTGTTTCACCACGCACAAACCAAGTCATCGGGACACATGTGTATGCCCCGAGCTCCTTCTTCCCACTCAGGGTGGGCTAGACTAAGCCAGGCATTCTTGCAGGAAATGTATATTGTGTGCCGTGAGCCAGACTGGGGATCCTGGAACAAGGGGTTGAGGGGGAGTGGGATGAGGGGACAGACGTCTGTGCCACTACTTCTACACCAGGAAAATAAAGCCCCAAGTATAATGCAGATTCGGGACCGGTGCCGTGGGTGTGTGGGGCTATGACCTTGGGGAGGGCGCTGAACCATCCAGGCCTTTGCTTGCTGGCCTATAAAGTGAGGGGACAGGGAACGGGGAGAATAGTCAGGCCACCAGTTCTAATGCTTCCTCTCATTTAATGCTCAATGACTTTGCTGGAGTCCGCCTGGAGGGACCAGAAAAAGCATGAGCAAGGGAGGTGGCATTTCAGTGGGCCACAAAGGATGAGCTGGCTTGCAGTAAAAGGGGCCTGGGCACCTGCAAGTGAAAAATCCTATTTGTAAAGGTCCTTGAGTGTGAAAAGGTCTGGCCTGCTGGCAGAAAGATTGGAGGATAAGGCTAGGGATGCTGGAGCAGGAGAAAGCGTCACGGGCACCTTGAACATCCCCCTCAAATGAGGCTCATCCTTGGAAGGTGGTCTCGCCCTTGAGGATTCTCCTGTTGAGCACCTTGTTCAAGCCAACTATGGAAACAGATTCTGGGAACACAGACACCTTTGTGGAAAACCACGCACGCCTCATAGAGCCCCCTTCTTCACGTAATTTCCCTTCAGAGAGGGAATTGCCGCTTGCCCACGTTACGGATTATCTTTGCTAGTTGCTTATTTTCCTCTCCCTGTGGACTATAAGTTCTATGAGAGCAACGTCTGTGCCAGTGGGTTTACTCTGCTCCTCCCAGTTCCTGGATCGCCTCAGTGTGTAAATACTGTATATACACAGCGGACACGGACACGTTCAGAAGCCTATGTGTGTGCAAGCCTCAGACTCTGGGGTGGAAAAGAACGGGCTGGAAGAAGAAAGCAGGGCCTTTGTGGGGGAGCAGGGTTAAGGTGCATTGGCAGGAGAGCCAAGAGGTAAGGAAAAGGAGGGACTGACCACTCTGGAAAAAGAGGTGCTTAGTGTGGGGCTGTGGGTACTTTCGAGAAGTAAAGGGGGAAGACACCCCAAAACTCCCATGCCTGCTCCCGGCATGCCCCGGCTCCTTGCTCACGGCGATGTTTACATACCTGCCTCGCACTGTGTGGACTGGTGGCCCAGTGCCAGGGAAGCCCCAAGCCTGCCCAGAGGCATGTCAGTAACAAACTCAACCACTGACCAGGAACCACCGTCACCAGTCCCTACTGGACCAGAACGGGACGATGGAGACTCATGTCCACCCAGAGACCCAGAGGGAGGCAAGAGTCAGATGGAGAAAAGGCAGAGGGACCCTGTGGATGCTGACATCCCGGGCAACATATTTGACACTGAGAATCCAACGGCTCTGATTGTTTATTGCAGGAGAAGCAGAGAACTGGACATGACCCAAAGCAGAGGACAAAGAGAGCCCCTGGGCTGCGACGGCCCCAGAAAGGCATGGGGACAGAGGGGTTCACACTGGCTGCAGGGAGACATCCACATAGCTGTGTTATCTCTGTGTTGGGGGCAGTGACCCAGTGAAAAACAGCCAAGGGGGAGGTCACCGGGAGCACCCCCCATGGGACTTCCCACCTCACAGCATCCACCGTGTGGAGGACCACAGGGCTAGGGGATGGCACGGGGATTGCGGCCACAGAGGAAGCACCTCCTGGCCTGGACAGGGAAAGGGCAGGGAGAGCAGCTGGGCCCTGCGTCTTTCTGCTCACAGAGCCAAGGGTCACCGCAAGCCCTTCACCTCGAGGCCTTCCTGGCCGCACAGCTGCCGCCTGAGCTCTTAGGCAGGGGATCCTTGAACTCGCTGCCACAGCTGCCTTTGGTTTTGACGTCCATGGCCACTGGCTTGAAGCCGTAACTGCTCGAGGCACCAAAGCCCACGCTGAAGCCAGCCCCTCCTGCCCCTGCGCCCGTGTTGCTGATGACAGCTGGAACAGGGGAGAGAAGATGCAGGGTTGGGGGTCTTTCTGGGGCATCCCGGCCCACTCCCTCAGCGCCTGCCCTGTGGGGACAGAGTCCCTCTGCTGGGTCCTTTCAGTGTCCTTGGAGGTTTTTGGCAGTACGGATCATTTCTCAAGGATTTGGCCCCATGTATTTGACCTCCCGTTAGTTTGTGTCCCTCCACCAGCATCAGGCTTGGAGCCTTCGTGGGCTCTCTCAGTGAACCTCCCCCACAGGACAGGCCACATGAACCAAGGCCCTTCACGGAGGCCCCTGGTGCTGTCCCCGAGGCAGGGGCTGCGGGCCGACAGCCCCTCTCCCGGGAGAGTGCCTCCCTCGCACCTGCAGTCTCTAGTTTTTCAGTCTGCAGAAGGCTGTTACGGCCCGCCCTCAGTCCCTCCAACTCCCAGTTCCTTCTTACTGCAAGCTGGAGCCTTGGTTTCGGTCTGGCCTCAAGAGAAATACAACGTGGCCAGTAAGCCTCATTTTAAAGGAGACTTTGGATTCACACACTGTTAGATATCCTTTGATCTCTCTATAGGCTATACTTTTGTATTTCATGGTATTATTTTTCTCCATCACTGCTTCTCCCCGCAAGCCAGCTCCCTCTTGTTGCCCCTGACTCTTTCCTGAACCCTCTCTAGTGTCATGGAATTGGAGGCTCAGACTTCTGGAAGGTGACCACACCCAAACCTGGACCTGCAGGTACTTACAGATGCTCACAGAATTTGGATGTTCACCAGACATCCTGGAGAGAGAGAGGAAAGGCAGGTAAATGCTCTGTAAAGCAGGACGGTGTCTCTCCAGGGGGTCACAGAGGTGCCACTGTCCCCCTCATCCTTCCTTGGGGTGTGTGTGGGGGAAGGAAGCATCCCTTCCCCCACACACACCCCAGCGGGACGTCTGCTGTGAAGGCTCACTTCTCTAGCCATCAGAGTGGCTCTGGGTGATCTGATGGGTGGGGTCATTGTGGAGGCCCTGCTCACCTCTGTTATGCCAGTGGTCTCACACAATTAAGAGGAATGAGTCCACCTGCTCGCTGGGTCCCAGGCTTTGCCGGAGTGACCTTATACTTAGCTGACTCTTGGAAGCCATCTTGCCCCTCCCCCCACCTCCCTAAGCATGCAGCACAAAGGGCCAGGGAGGCTCTGTTTCTCCAAAGCTGCTGATGTTCCTATTTCCTCTCCCACCTCCTCTTTGACAATGCAGTCCTTCCTGCAGCCTAACTTTGGTCTTTCCTGTTGTACCATGTCAAACCCATTCCCTATAAGGTGTTAACCCAGTAGGACCTGAACGGAACCAAACTGTGTGCCTTCAGTCTTCCTAAAGCAGAGAGGTAACTGCTCCAAATAAAAGATATCTGACCCCCCACCTGCACTCCTCGCCTTCCAGCAGCTTGCGGTAGGTGGCGATCTCCATGTCCAGGGCCAGCTTCGTGCTCGTGAGCTCCTGGTACTCGCGCAGCATCCGGGCCAGCTCCTCCTTGGCCTGGTGCAGAGCGGCCTCCAGCTCGTCCAGCTTGGCCCGGGCGTCCTTCAGGGCGCAGTCGCCCCGCTGCTCGGCATCGGCGATGGATGTCTCCAGGTTGGAGCACTGAGGGGCAAATGCATTCAGCGCTTTGAGTCAGAACACAGTTCTGAGATCCTGCCCAGACATCCCCTCTCATTTGGTCCTGACTGATAGTGAATGCATTAAGGTCCTCCTAGTTTCTCCACTTTGGGACATCGCTAGAGATGAATCTGTCCTTCTCCTATCTCCGGGCACGGTTCACCTCCACTCATGCATTGTCATATGAAGATGGCCCTTCCCTCCCCTGGGAGAGAGATGAAAGGCTCCGAGAAGGGGAGCCTCCTGGGCCAGTGGCTCCTGTCCTCTCCCTCCCGGTCTGTAACACTGGCCACAAGATTCTGATGCCACCCTTGAAAATTTTGGGGGCAACTAGCTTAATTCTGCCCCACAGTAGAGGTTGTCTTGAGAGATCCTGTAAATTGTAAACAAAACAAAAACCAAAAACGAGAGAGAAAGATAGCAAAGGGGGGGATACTAATAAGGTTACTACTAATAAAATTTCTGTCCAATAGACCTGCCACACGGAGTCTAGCTCCCAAAATTCCACAGAGAATCCTGGTATGGGGCAACACCCTCAAAAGATACTTTTGTGAACAATAGGTCTCACTAGCTTACAGACACCCGCTGTTAGGTGAGAGGGTAACTTGCAGTATGAAGCTGGGGATGGGGCTCTCAGCCACGTCCATGAGAAGGTGCCAGGGGTTTCTTGAGTCTTTAAGTCTTGGGAGGTTTTTCCCATCACTTGGCCAAGTCTTGGTGGGATCTAAATATGGTTTCTCTTTTCTGGTGTGTCCCCTTTCTCTGGAGTCAAATTCGTTTCACCCCAAGGAGAGCAGCCGGTCCCAAGGCCAGACAGAATTCTAGACTGTTGCCCGGCCGGTGCCTCCTCCTCTGCCAGGCAGACCCCCCACCATGCAAACACCCACAGTGTTTGGATGAGTGGTTCACAGCCTCTGCAGAAATGCCTAGGACCCAGCTGTCTGGCCACAGACGACCATGTCCCATCCTCGGGATTGTGGAGGTCTAATCATTCAGGGGATGGCCACTCTATGACCTGAATTCTATCAAACTGTGCTCTGTTCCTTTTCACTGACCGAGGTCCTACAGGGTGAATCGGGGAGACTCCTGGGTCTTGTGAAAGTGGCATGAGGTGAGAGGGCATGAAATCTGGGCACCCTTGGAAACAATTATCACATGGATCCTGGGATCACCGAATGCCAAGAGGGTCTGCAGGTGAAACCATGTGCTTCTTCAGTGGAAAAGCCAGAGGGCAGGAAACCACCTTGGCCAGGGGCCCTCAGTAGGAGCTGCGATGGGGCCTAAGAATCAAGAGTGAACCCCACTGGCTCCCCATGGAGGACATCTTCCCTGACCTGCCTGATGGCATTCTGATCACAAAGTCACTTTCTAGTAATAAGTTCACCCAACCGTGAACATGTAACATTTTATTACATAAATATAATCGGATACTGAGGGCGGCCTCAAACACCTTGTGTTTTTCTTTCATTTATGCAGAACTTAATTAAATGAAAACACCACGAGTTCTTATTTAAGAGGTCTTTTTTCTTCCCCTCACCATGAGCCTGGTGCACAGAGATGATGTATGTGCATGTGTCTGCATGTACATGTGGGGCATGTGTGTGTGTGCGTGTGCACAGGCCAGGGAGAGGCCACTAAAGAAGAGGGCATGGGGACAGGGCCACTTGACTTGTCTGGAAAGCTCAGAGCCTTTGTGCCAGCCTCCACAAACTCTGGGAAATTCATGGGTTTGCTTGCATCAGAAACATCAGTGAGACCAACACTGCACCCAGGGTCATGGGGTCACTCAGTGCCAGGCTACCACACACAGCACAGCCACGGGGATGGACAGACACAGAGCAGAGCCCTGGGCCAAGCCAACAGAGGGAGGCTCTCTCTCCTTCCCTCTTCTAAATTCCATGGCTGGGCTCTCCCTCCAGCATGGATTCATCACGTGAAACCTTCAAACGGCTCCTTTTAACTTACTGCATTCGGTCTAAACTCCACTGTCCCACTTCGAAGGTGCCCCTAACCTGCCCGTCCTATGTAGTGATGTCCTGCCGCCTGCCACCCCAGCCATCGTGGAACTTCTGCTTGGGGTAGGTGTCTTTCCTCCCTGCACACACGCCATGCGGTGTCCACATTGGACCCACTGCTCCTGCTGGCTCCCTCTCCTCCTTCCCGCCCATGCATCCCACCTCCTGCAGGAAGCCTCGCTGGGGTCTGCATTCAGTTCTGGCCACTCGGGCTCCTTAGGGAGCAGGCTGCACAGTGGGTGGAATGCTTCGCCCTTCTATGTGGGTTTGGGATGTTCCCTCCTGAAGGATTACACATGCCCTAAGGAGGGGCTATGACTTCTTGTTGTTTCACATTTAGTCTCATACCTTGGGCGCACAATAAACCCGCTAGCTGACTCATTTCATGGAACCCACCTGCTTCTTCACATTCCCTATCTCGGAGCGGATCCTCTGGATCAGGCGGTTGAGCTCTGAGATCTCAGCCTTGGTGAGTTTGAGGTCATCCCCATGCCGGCCTGCGGTGACCTGCAGCTCTTGGATCTGAGGTTGGGGGACAAGAGAAGAGGACCCCAGCATAGTTGGGAATTCGCCTCTTAAGGGTGTTGAACATGGGGAGTGGGAGGGGGACCACATGCTGTTCTCATTGCCCGAGCAACAAATGCACAGTGAGGAGGGAGGGAGAGGATGGAGGAGAGGGGAGGGAAGTGGGGGGGAACCACCTTTTCCTTCTCGACAAGAAAGCCCTGACCCAGCTCAGGAGGATCCTCAGGCTCACAAATGTGAAACCCTAGGTGGAAGTAGAATATCCCGTCCTCATTTTGACAAAGCAGGAAACACGAAACAAAGCCAGGATAGATGGATTATGCACAGAAACCGTGTCAGAGTCTCCCCAGGGTTGTGGCTAGTGTGGCCTCTGCTCTCAGCAAGGGCAACCTCAGGGTGAGGGCTGAGCCCATATATGCCCCCAGCACATGCCGAGACTGTGGGGGACCTCTCGGCCCCACAGAGGGAGACATTTCCACGAGGCCCAACTCCGAGACAAAGGCGGTCTCAACCCAGCCTGGTACACACACCACACACACGCATGCAGGCAGGCACGAGGAGAGAGAGGCAGCTGGGGTCCCTGGGCCTCGGCACACCTGGCATGCAGCCCACCTTGGTCTGGTACAGCGCCTCGGCCTCGGTCTTGCTCTTCAGGGCGATCTCCTCGTACTGGGCACGGACCTCGTCGATGATGCTGTCCAGGTCCAGGTCCCGGTTGTTGTCCATGGACAGGACGACGGAGGTGTCGCTGATGTGGGACTGCATCTGAGTGATCTCCTGGAGAACAGTTAGGGAAGTGGAGCCACTTAAAGGGTTTCCATGAGGGAGCCCCTCTCCTGACCCTCCCTGGCAAATCTCTTGCGGCCCTTCCGTGGTGTTTGAACTCCACCTTCAGCAGAGCCCTCCGGCGCCGCTGCCTGCCGAGAGCGAGGTGCCCACACCCGGCTTTCAGCCCCAGTGTGGGATGCCCCTCTCCATCCTGCACTCAGGACTGCTCCCACCCCTGTTCCACGCTCTGCAGCAACGGCCACCCTTCATCTGTAGAATTAAGTCTGATCTCCTTAGGTGGCCCACAGAGCCCTTCTGGAGTTGCCAACCACCTTTTCTTCGAGCCCTACTCACTTGACCCAGCTCAGAACGCTCATCCCACTCCTTCAGGCTGCATGCCGGGCCCTTCTCAGCATCCCTGAGATCTTCCTCATCCTTCCCCGGGAATCTTCCCTGACAGCTTGGACAGAATTCCCTACACCTTCCTCTGCTCTCCCAGGGCTCAGCCACAGACTGTGATTTCCTAGGGGACAGGAATCATCCCTTCTTCTTCATGGCTTCCTCAGAGCACAACTCACTGCTCCGCAAACATCAGCTGCACGGAACTGCCAACCTTTGGTCCACACATCCATGCAGGCCAAGGGACAGGAGCCACTCATGGGAGGAGCAGGCCACACAGGAGCTCCGTGGAATCCTTACCCCTTCATAGAGGCACTTGAAGAATTTGATCTCATCTGTCAGGGAGTCCACCTTGGCCTGAAGCTCCACCTTGCTCATGTAGGCGGCGTCCACGTCCTGGGGGACCAAGAGAGGAGCCAGCTGCCTTCCCCTGCCCTCCCTGCCTGTTGTAAGGAGCCTCGGGTTCCCTGCTTTCGCCACTCCCCTCACCCTGTGCTTCCCAGTTGCTGAGAGCAGACCAACCAATGTGCAGGGCAATGGTCATGCCAGGAGTGTGCCAAACGTCTGGATTCTAAGCAGGCAGACTCTGGGAGCAACACGCATCCCAGGCAAGGGGACTCAGACAGAGGAATTGGGAAATGAGAACTGCAGCCACCCCTGCCCAATGGACTGAGTGACCCACGGAATCCCTTTCCTCAGCCTACCAACACCACCGTGTCAGGTACTCAGGGAGCCTCAAGGTTTCTTCCAGCCCTCCCTGTTTCCCTCTTACCTTCTTGAGCACCACAAACTCATTCTCAGCAGCTGTGCGTCTGTTAATCTCCACCTCGTACCTGTGTGCGGCAAGAGAGAGGCGGTGGCATTGTCATTGGGATAACTCAGCTCTGCAAACACTCACTGAGCAGTCAGTGAGCACCGCTGTGCAAGAGCTGCATGGCCGTGACCTACACACTGGAGTTCCTGCACCCCTGGGGTATGCACAATGATCAAAAGGGACCTTGACCGGAGTAGGTTTAAAGGAATCAATGTGCAGCTCCTTAGTTCACATGTAACCTACCCTACAATGCCTCTGCCCAGGAACGCACCTGTGATGGGCTTCCACCATCCCTTACCCTTTCACAACTACCCCTCCCTTGTGACAGCAGAAAGACACCCCTTCTCCCAACAGAGACATTAATTAGTACAGTGCATTAGCCCAGGGCGCAAAACCTCTCAGACACCAAACAAATACTATCCCCACGTTTGAGTGGTATGTTCTGCTTGTTTTTTATACATATTTCTGTTCCAGGTGAAGCAAGTTCTTAGAAACAGGATGTTTGGATACGGCCGGGATGTTCTTCACACAGATACATTGTAGACTGGGGAGATGGGAGTATTGATCCCTTACAGACCTCACTATTCCAACTCTTATTATTGTCAAAGAATGTATTACAGGATATTTGCATTGGGAAATGAAATAGAACCCTGGAAAGAAATAACTAATGCTAGCAAATGGTTTCTTTCCATATACTTTCATGTGAGCTATCCTTTTCTGCTTCTTACTCCTTCCTAAGCCAAGCGGCTGGCTGCGAAGGGGGGGAAGCCTTGTCAGATGACAGTACAGGTTAACGAAGTGGGTTATTTTAAAAATGCAACTGGAACATTTTCTGAGACTGCCAGATTGTGTTAGTTACACTGGATAGAACACATAGAAAACAATTGATATGATTTATCTCAGATTCCAGGTGTGTTATTTAAAAGGTAAATGAATACTTTCTTGTATCAAATTATATTATGATAGGGTTGTTTCTATTATAATTATCATTATCTCCTATTATCTTGGAAAATATTCCATTTTTCTTCCTCCTGTTAATAAATAAGAGCGTATGCTAGTTGCAGACTAGTTTTTAGCTTACCTTTCTGATTCATAAAACACACAGAAAAAGTTTGGTCATGATGGCTATCAAATTAATGACATTTATTTGTCATAATTTTTCATTATTTACTTCTAGAGACTAAACACCAGAGCATACACAGACATACACATTTATAAAGAAAATCAATGCATTTTTAGTACTATTGGCTTTATCAATAACTCATAATTTACAAAATACATTACGATGCACAATTAAAAGTTAAGCCATAACAAAGTGCAGATGTATTAATTATATCAAATCTACACCACTTTAATCTCCAGTGCTTCCAATAACCTATTGTACAAGATGTCACCTTTAGTTTGCAGCTAGGTGGATTTTATAACAATTCCTAATTCATTTCCTTATTTCATTTCATCCCACAGCAACCCTATCAAGTAGATCCTATCATTATCATCTCTCAATTTTATAAGCAAGGCAAAGACTTTTCCAAGGTCACAAAGCTTGTCAAGCTAGGATCCCAGTGACATCAGGGAAACAATGCCTTAGATTTGCCTAGAACTTCGGTTCTTTAAAGAGATGATAATACATTAGTAACAACATTACCATCTCAACAGCTCTTTTAGGTGGTAAGGCAGGTGTCAGTATCTGAATTTTACAAATATTAAAACTGAAGTCCACAGAGAACCAGGAGGCTCACCCATCATCAGCTCAACTGAGTGGTATTTCCAGAACACCTGGCCTTCCAGAGGCAGCAAGACCTTTGGGGGCCTCTAACCTGACATCTGGGCTGTGCCTGGAAACCCCCTCTTTTTTTTTTTTTTCCAGAATTTTGCTCCACACTGTATTCACAGTGTGGATTGAGATTGATTTAGGCTGCAATTTCCATCTGAATGCCATTCAATCTCAATCCACACTGTATTCATTTCACTTCCTGGGGGCTCTCTGAAAGTGCTTGTCAAGCCTGTCCCCACAATCTGGATGTTTTCCGAGGTGAGAGACCATGCCACCTCCTCCCTCAGGACTCGGAACAGAATTCCACTTGAGGGTAGTTCAGAATAGGGATGGCCCGGCAGATTGAACGTGCAACAAGAGAAATCGCTCAGCTCTGATCAACTCCATCCCCTTGAATTGTGGAAGAAGTTATCTTTCCCTAAAAATCCTGGCACCTGGAAGCAAACTTCCAAAATATCAGATCATGCTAAGCCAGGATGTACCATGATCTCCTCACTGGCTCAAATCCAGGAGAAATTATTTCTGGTTCCAAGTACATTTTCAATCTTTCTCTTTAATGGTGGGATTCTGCAGCACAGAGACACCTCAACATGAAAAAATTTTTCAAAACTTTTATTTGCTTAGCTTTAGGATTTGTTCTGGGATTGGAACAAATCTGGGATTGGAACACATTATGGTTCACATTCTAGGTACTCCCACGGAAGACCTCACGCAGGAGGAGCTACAAAGCCATCTGGGTTGTCCATCTGGTTTTGAGACAGCTCTCTTGTACCCATTTCTCCATTTCCAATGTTAAAAGTTGGGCACACCATTTCCTAGAAATTCAGGGCACCACCCTAGATAGATCTTTTCTCTTCCTAAGTCTCAACCTGTCTGGATCTCCCCGGCTCCCCTATGGAAAAGGAAATAGCAAATGTTATAGTAAGGGATCGAAAAAGGCAAAAATGCTGACTCCAAATCGAAAACTCATCTGTAATCAAGACCCTCCAGGGGCAGATTCTCTGCCTTTCCACTCACCTCTTCTTGTAGTCCTCCACCAAATCCTGCATGTTCCTTAGCTCTGAGTCCAGCCGCACCCTGTCACCTGTCTGTGTCTCCAGCTGTTTCCGCAGGTTGCTGATATAGCCCTCATAAATGGGCTCCAGGTTCTTCCTGCAATTGTTCAGGTCCAGCTGCTGTAGTAGGTTCCACTTGGTCTCCAATACCTGGTTTTGCTGCTCCAGGAACCGCACCTGGGACCCAAAGGTGGTCATAGCCCAGAATCCCAACGCTGTTGCCTCTCAACAGTGGGGAGAGGGCCCCAAAAATCAGATAGTCATCCTACGGTAGGAGGCAGGAAAGAGCAAGATGCATCAGAGAATGGATTCAGCCATGAGGACGTGCTTATCTGGGTCTCCAAGACAAGAAATAAGACTCAGTCTAAAAGAAATCAAGGGGGTAGGTTTAAGAGTTATCACATGATGCAGGTAGCTTCTTTTGCCGTAAATGCTGGGGTTTTCAGAGTGAGGGAAGATGGGAACCAAGGGAGAAACAGTAATGGGGGAATGCGACGGAAGGTCATTTTGGTGGTTAACCTGTCCTCTCTTAGGTGCAACCTCAGTTGCTCTTGGTTGGCTGGTTTCTTTGGTTTTCATTTCAAAGTGGGTTATCACGTCTTTACAAGGTTCCTGCATACTCAACAAAAGGTCTCACACGTTTGGACTCAGAAACTTCAAGCCTCTGCTACTCACTAGCCTTCCTCTTCTTCCCTTTCTCTAGCTTTAGGGAGAGAAGGGAACGTGAGGGGAAGAACAGACTCTGAAGAGGAAAATGAACCCTGTCCCCTGGGATAGCAGCTCTGTTTCTTCTACTCCTGCCCTCTCACCTCCAACCACCTCCCTTCCTCTTCCCAGGCACAGTGGTGAGGAACACAATCTGCTGTTGCTGTTCTACCAACTTGGGCATGTTTCTTAGCCTCCCTCTGTCTTGGTTTCCTCATCCACAAAGCAAAATGATAACAGAATCTTGGGTCACGTGTGATATACGAGGACCCCTTGGGACAGCACCAGGCACTGACTAATGTCAGCTTTTATCTGGACTATGTCCCCTTTGAGTCATGGTCCCGATCTCTGCCCAGGCTTGGATATAGAAACCTATTCCTTCTCTGCTCTCTATCCTTTGGGGTCACTGACTCTGAGTCACCAGGAATATCTTCCCTTTTAAACCCTGCATGTCCCCCTCCCCACAGACACACACAAAATCCACACATGTAACTTGACAGGCCCTCCTCAATAGCCCCACCCTTCCATCTTCTGGTCCTTTTCTCTCATCTCCTCCAGAACCCTTCCTGGCTTATACCCCCATCCAACTTCCTACCTTTTAAGTCCTCTCCCTTCACCAAGCATCATGTCCTGTGATACTCCCTGGTCAGTATCCCTCTGGTGCTCCTGTCCTGGATATGTGTCCCCATCTCCTTGTCTGATATTGCAAACTCTCAGAGGGTCATTCCATATGTCTCCTGCCTGTGGTGCACCCCCTTCCATCCCAGGGTCTTGCCCGGGAAGGAAAAATTAGGCTTCTGTTAATCATGGGGTGGGGCTCGAGAGAGTGAGTGAGAAGCTCTGTTCCAAGCCCTTTATAAACATCCAGTTCATCCTCACATCATCATGTGAGGTAAGAGCCACTGTTTTGCCCATTTTACAGATAAGCAAAGGGAAGCTCAGAAAAGATAAACAGGCCGCCCAAGTTTTCAAGTAACTGTCAGTGGCAGAGGGCGTACCCCTGGGCACACTGGTAGCTGGGGGCCAAACCGACATCTGAGGACCCACCTTGTCGATGAAGGAGGCAAATTTGTTGTTCAGCGCCTTGATCTGCTCCCGCTCCTGGGCGCGCACCTTCTGGATCTCCGGGTCCAGCTCCACATTGAGGGGGGCCAGGAGGCTTTTGTTGACGGTGACCTGAGGGATGCCTCCGGGCGGGCACACGGACGGACACACTGGTCCCAGCCCGGCGCTGCCGAAGACGGTGCCGACGAAGCCGCCCAGCCGGCCGCCGCCCGAGCCAGAGCAGTGGCCCAGCGCGAAGGTGCCGCCCCGCCCGGCCGCGGCGCACAGGGCCAGGCGCCGGCCGCCCCCCAGGCTGAAGAGGCTCCTGGAGCCGAAGGCGGCCGTGCCTTTGACGCCGGCCCGGAACGAGGCGGAGCTGGTGCTCACCCGTCCCGAGATGACGGCCGAGCAGCCGCTGAAGCCTGTGCGCTCGCCGGCGGGGCGGTGGTGCAGCTGGCGGCTCATGCTGGGGGGACGGGCTGCGGAGCGCGACGCGAGGTGGGACAGGGGCGCAGAGGGCGGCTCCGCTGGCCTGCCTCGCTCCCCCCTAACCCCTTAAATAGCCGGCTGCAGGCAGCCTAATTTGTAGGTCGGGGACATCTATTAGCCACATGGGGCCTCTCAGGTTCTCCGTTTAGGAAATTAACACTCCTCCCTGAGATTTTTGTCTCTCCCACCCTGAACTCCTCATGAATTCCCTATAAAATGGCCCTGAACCCTGCATTTGCTTTGCTTACCCCCTGCATTATAATAATTTGGCTACCTTATCTCCACTTGCTGCCCTCCAATTACTAGGGTTATCACGGCCAAGATCTATGGTAGAAGCTTCCATTGGGTCTGGCTCCGGGGGTGGGGAAAGACACCCTCCCACCAGGTGGAGGAGCGTGGTATAGGGGAGCAGATGTCCAGGCCAGTTCTGCTTCAGAAGGACATGAACAGGATCAAGAATATTCCAGAGAATCATCCTTAGCTTGTCAGCTAGCTGCGGCTTCCCCCAGACTTCCGGAAGAGGACGGCTCTATTCTGAGTACTGGAAGGAAGTCCCAGAGGGTAGAGACATCTGGCCTATCTGCAAGGAATTCTCAATCTGTTGGGGGAAGGCCAGACACAGGGACAGAGTTCAGGCCAGTGAGAGCTCTGGTCACAAGAGCTGGGGCGGGTGTGGTGGGGGGCAGAGGGGGGTTATTTTGGTTCTGCAGAAAAGCATTTCTGTAATAAATATATATATAATATATTTTATATATATTATATATATATATAATTTATAATAAATAAATAAAAGTGAGGGAGATACTAACTGGGAAGAAGGGAAGGGGGCCTGAGGAGATGGTACAGGAAGGTGGTCTGGAAGACAGTCTTACATGAGTTTGAGTTTTTTCTTTTTCTTTAATTGCAGAAGACAATCATCCATCCCAACCTTCGTTGCCCTGGCATTTCTGATTCTGGATCAAAATGTGACTGAGTATTAAGAACAAGTTGAGAAGGCCAAGAAGGACACCTCCAGTCTGAAAAATCAAGAACTAGGTTCTTGAACTTCATTCCAAATAAGCTCATAAGTATCTTTTCCAATATAACCCACTTTCCTTTTTCCAACTTAAGTTGCCTTTAATTCTCCTCTTCTGTCAGAAAATCCCCTTCCCATACGGCTCTTCTGGTACCCAGGTGGTATTCTATTTCATCACTCCTATTTCTCAGTCTGTCTGAGTCCTGAGTGTATGTCCCATTTCCACCATCAGATTAATAGGTGCCTGGATTAACCATTCCCTCCCCTGCTCAGCCCATGCTCAGCCCTGGCCTCGACACCAGGGACATTCAGGATGAGTGTGAAACAGACAAGGCTCATCGCTGTGCCCCCAGTTATACCCTGGGGCCTGGGCTCCTCTTGGAGCCCTCATGGGGTGGTCAGCTGGCACCTGAGGGTAATTGAGTGACACAGCCTCAGCTGAACCAATAACAGAGCATAATAACAACCAAGGTGTTTACCCCACAGGGAATGAGGCTGGTGGGGAGGGGCGGAGGGGAGGCATCAGTGAGTGATCGAGATGGCGCCAGCCACAGATGAACAGATAGAAGAGTCTGGAATATCCTGGATGTGAAGATGGTGGGCTCTCTATGCTTCCTCAGGGGAGACCCTGTATTCCATTTCCTCTAGATAGGGAAGAGGCAGTGTCAGTGAATCTGGGCGACCAGCAGGCCCCTCAAGAAACTCAAGGTTGTACTTTCCATTATTTCATGAGATTGCTTCCTACAACCCATAAATTTAACCAGTTTTCTTTCCATAAGTACAGGAGAGAGTTTATTAACTCTGGTCATTGAGAATAGAAAAGTGGAAAAGTATTTCAACTGAAATAGGAGAAATTTACATAAGATTGTCTTTCGAAGGGAGCCTTTGAAGTCTCCTTTTTTCTGGAAACTTCTTAAGAATTTGAGATACCCATTCCTGTAGAACCAAGCCACTTCTGCCCAGGATCAAGGAAGAGGAAGGACGACCTTTTCTTATCTTCCTGTGAGGGGGTTGACAGGCTGGATGAATCAGGAATTCCTGAACCCACAGGCTCACCTTTCTTACAGATACAGACCAAAGTGGCATGTCCAGGTTTCAGAGGCATTGGATGTATGGGGACAGGACAGATCAAAAGGTGACTGAAGCCTGGGAGGAGGGCTTCTCATGGCAACTGCCTCTGACAGTGTCTTCCTATGTCATCTTGGGCCCCATGACTACCTCTACCATTAGTACTGGATGAAAGCAGCCCCTGGATTGGGAGACAAGCAACAAATACCACCCTTTGAAACCAGAGCTCAACAAAAAAGGATAGACAGATGACTTCTCCAAGCAAGGATTTGCAAACATGCTGTGATTAAACAGGTTCTTGTTTGCCCTGAAACACTGGTTCTTAGGAGATTAATAGGTATCATGTAGGGAAAAAAGTGTGGGGATGGATTCCCTGTTGGGTTTAAAAAAAAAAAAAAGATGAAGCCAGCATCACATTGCAATGCTTTTTAGATCCGTCACTGTGGACACTTAGGAAAGCTGCTCTAAAGGATGCTACAAAACTCAGTGCTTTCCAAAGAAGGTGACTGGAAATGAGATCATTAAAAAATGAGGGTTTTTTCCTACTTTTTAATATTTCTGAATTTTCTCATATGAGCATATAGTGTTTCTACAGGTGAGTTATTTAAAAAACAACTACATTTTTTTCATGTGTCTCTTAGCCATTTGTATGTTTTCTTTGGGGTTCATCATCATTAGCCATCAGTGAGATTCAAATTAAAACCACATTGAGATACCACCTTACACCAGTTAGAATGGCCGAAATTAACAAGACAGTAAACAAGTGTTGGAAAGGATGTGGAGAAAGGGGAATCCTCTTACACTGTTGGTAGGAATGCAAGTTGGTGCAGCCACTTTGGAAAACAGTGTGGAGATTCCTTAAGAAATTAAAAATAGAGCTTCCCTATGACCTTGCAATTGCCCTACTGTGTATTTACCCCACAGATACTGATGTAGTGAAAAGAAGAGCCTTCTGTACCCCAGTGTTCATAGCAGCAATGGCCACAGTTGCAAACTATGGAAAGAGCCAAGGTGCTCTTCAACAGATGAATGGATAAAGAAGATATGGTCCATATATACAATGGAGTATTATGCCTCCATCAGAAAGGATGAATACTCAACTTTTGTATCAACATGGATGGGACTGGAAGAGATTATGCTGAGTGAAATAAGTCAAGCAGAGAGAGTCAATTATCATATGGTTTTGATTACTTGTGGAGTATAAGAAAAACATGGAGGACATTAAGAGAAGGAAAGGAAAAGTGAGTTGGGGGAAATCAGAGGGGAAGACAAACCATGAGAAACTGTGGAGTCTGAGAAACAAGCTGAGGGTTTTAGAGGAGAAGAGGGTGGGTGGTTAGGTGAGCCTGGTGGTGGGTATTATGGAGGGCATGTATTGCATGGAGCACTGGGTGTGGTCCATAAACAATGAATTCCGAAACACTGAAAAGAAATGTAAAAAATAAATAAAAATTTAAAAAAATAAAATAAATAACAACTACAGGGGCACCTGGGTGGCTCAGTCAGTTAAGCGGCTGCCTTTGGCTCAGGTCATGATCTCAGGGTCATGGGATCAAGTCCCACATTGGGTTGCTTGGTCCCTGCTTGGTAGGAGTCTGCTTCTCTCTCTCCTCCCTACTCATGCTCTCTCTATCTCTGTCTGTCTGTCTCTCTCTCAAATAAATAAATAAAATCTTTACCAATAAATAAATAAATAAATAAATAAATAAATAAAACTAGAGAAGAAAGGAGAGGTAGGCTGACTTTAGTATCAGAAATAAAGTAACTGTTATTGTTAAAAAAAAAAAATCCAGTGTCTTCCAAAACTTTGTTTGATCATAGAGCCCTCTTTTTGGCCAAATATATCTTATAGGAACCGGGGTTTTAAGGAATGTACTTTAAGAGACACAGAACAGGGGCACCTGTGTGGCTCAGTGGGTTAAAGCCTCTTCCTTCGGCTCAGGTCATGATCCCAGTGTCCTGGAATCAAACCCTGCATCGGGCTCTCTGCTCAGCAGGGAACCTGCTTCCCCCTTCCCTGCCTGCCTCTCTGCCTACTTGTGATCTCTGTCTGTCAAATAAATAAATTAAATCTTTTTTTAAAAAAGAGAGAGACACAGAACAAGTTCTCTCTATTTCACCATTAGATAGACTAACATTTCCCAAATCCAGAAGACTTACAATATCTCCTTAAAAACACAAAGGCAAATGAAATATAATTACTGTGGTGTGTGGCCTGACCTAGCTTATGGCACTGTGCCCAGCATTACACTGTTAAAGCCAAAGGCAGGTTGTTTGCTTGGGCCAGAGCTCCTGTGCCAGCACCATCCCAGCACCACTCAGGGGGAAAGAATTCTCTGGCTGGTGACTGATGTTGGGGATCTACACTGAGGAAGGCTGTGCGAGAGACTTCCAGGGCTTATCAAGTATCCTCCCTCTCCTCCTCATTTCCCAGCCTCCCTGGGGGATTGGTCAGGGCTTGGGGCCATGTCGGCCAGTTAAATGTGAGGGGCATTGATGTGTGTTGATTCTAGGATGAGGCAGTTAGCAGCCCATGTGTCTCCTTCTTCTCTCTTTTCCCCTGTCCCAGTAACGTTGGAGGCCATGTGTCCTGTGTGGCAGGGCTGCAAGCCAGAAGCATGTAGGTCTGTGAGACATGAGCTGGGAGAGCCACATGGGAGAGCTGCCCAGATCCACCATGGACTGTGAGTGAGAAGTGGACCTCTGTTGCATTAAGTCAAGCCACTCAGACTTGTCCTTTGAGGCTGTCAGTGTTAATGTTCTGGATCCAAGGATAGAAGTCGGAAGGTAGAAGTATCTCTTAATAGCCAATGCTTTTTCTCTTGAGTTCCTGTACATCAAATAATCTGATGGCTATTAGACCTTCTCTATCTCACGTCTCCCTTAGGCTTTC